CACCATTAAATTTCTCTCTGAGGTAACTGTGTCTTGTTCTAAGAACATTTGCTCCAGCTAAAACTCAGCCTTGTTGTTTGACAATTTCATTATTGCATATATTTAATTTTTATTATAGGTCAGGGGCTGGATGTTGGATTTGGTCCAGGAACAGCTGCCACTGCTGTGGGTAAGTCAGGCATGTCTCAGGACTCAGATGACACCTCTGTACAAGTCCTCCTCCGTTCTGTCCCCCAGCTCATCCAGGGTCCACGGCAACTGGAGCCAGGGAACAGAGGTAATGGAGAACTACTCCTGCCCTTCTCCCAACTCTTAGAGCTGATACCAAGTTAGACAGTGGACCTGAAAACAATTTCCCTTCTCTGCTCCTGAATTTTGGGTTAAAGCATCTGGTGATGATTCATCTTGCCTCTTATTCCAACAGCCCAAAGCTCTAAGCTGGCCCTACAGGTTCCCCAGGGCTTTAGATCCCAGGCCAAGGTATTTACAGTTTGAAAAACAGGTATATTATAGAGCTAAGTGCTGGATTCAATGCCAGATTTTATACAGCAAACAATTGTAGCCAAGTACTAAGGTCGTATTCTCCTTTTCTAACTGGCAGGTCTCCCACCCCATTTCCCCATTTGCTGTATCTTATCTTGGTGTAACCACCTTAGGCCCATCCACGCCTTCTTGTGCTACCGAACAGGGAATCATATTCCAATACACCACACTGGGTTTTGGGTTATTCAGCCTGTTTAGATCATTCTGAAGTTCCCTTCTTTCTTTCCAAAACCAGGTAAGAGGCAGGGAGAAGAAAAAATGCTTTTTGAGGATTTACTGTGGCATAGAGCTGTAACCAAGCTGGGGAGTTCATACCGACCAAGGTGTCTGGAAATACTCCCAGGCCATGCAATTTGCGAAGCGTGAGACCTATGATATCATTAATTATATTATTAATTTATGTTAAAGTTTGTTTTCCACTTTAAAAGTACTTACAAATTAAAATGGCTGTGATCCTTGTGTGGGAAAAACAAGAGTCAGCAAAGTGTTTACAGAAATTAAAACCCCTTTTTGCATCATTACTTTGGTAAAGCTTATCGAACCCAAAACATCACCTGTCACAAAGTAATGTTAAAAGCCAGTCATTGGTGGGCACTGCCAGCAGAGCTGCCCGAGCCCATAATCAGTTCACCAGGAAGTCCCAGAACCTTTGTACAGGGTCATGGGGCTGTGGGAGGTCCCAGCTCTTCAGCAGGAGGGCAGAACCTTTAAGGTCCCTTCCAACCCAGTCTATTCTATGATACTATGATGTTTTTCTCTGCAAGGGAAGTAGAGCATTCCTCTGGCCTTGTGCTGATCTGCTGTTTATTTTGCCACATCACTGGTCCAATGACATAGGCCACAACTTGCTGAGATGAACAGGAAAAGGTGTTCAGATGAGATTAAAATCTCCAGTCATTCTTTTAAGATTACTAGTAATAGTGCAACCATAATCAGACTGTAGGGATCCACAGAGCTCAGTCACAGAACCCCAGAATTGTTAGGGTTGTAATGCACCTCTGGAGATCATCTAGTCCAAGCCTCCTGTCAACGCAGGGTCACCTCAAGTGGGTGACACAGGGTTGCAGCTAGCTGTGTTTTGAATATCTCGAGAGCAGGAGACTCCACATCCTCCCCAGGCAGTCTGCTCCAGTGCTCCGCCGCCCTCCGTGGAAAGAAGTTCTTCCTCATGTTGACGCAAAACTTCTTGTATTTTAGTTTATGGCCACTGCTCCTTGTCCTGTCACTGGGCACCACTGAAAAGAGTCTGGCACTCTTGACACCCACCTTTTGGATATTTAAATCACAGAATCACAGAACATTCTGAGTTGGAAGGGACCCACAAGGATCATGAAGTGCATAAGAGCCTCTCTGGAGACAGGCACAGTAAGTCTGGACATGTATATGAATATTTTGTCCATAATCTCCAAAATCCTTACAGATATTCGCAATAACCCTATGGCAAGAAAGGTGTTAAAACCACACCTAGGCATAATCATGTTTGATCAGTGGGTTCCCTTAAACAGCTTGACAGGTTAGTTGCCAAAACTTAGCTCAGGTTTCTGAACTGAAAAGTGTTATGTCCTGGCAGGTTTAAGGCAGGTAATATTTTACCAGCACCAAGAATTTAGGGCTCAAACATGCTGTATAGCAGGGAGCAGCTGAAATTGTAGATTCTGAGGATCTGTTTCTTCTACTAAGATGCAGGAGGTAGATCAACACCTCAAACAGAAACTCCTTGTAGCCTATTTATCACTGGATAATCAAAATTTGTTAGAATACCCACCCAGAAACTATGATGTTTGATATAGTAAAGCCAGTTTGGCACGTTAAACCTCCATTTGACTCATAACTCTCCACATTCTACCTTTTAACCCCATGTAACTAACTGCCAGAGTAATACCACCAGGACAGAGACAGGAGTGGGCCAGGTCACACACCATCTGCACTACGCTGCTTCCTTCCAGCCCACAGTGGGCAGCAGTAGGGGCTGCTGGGCAGGGCATGGAGAAACTCACCTGAGAAACCAGGTTTCCTTTTACTGCTCCACCACAGATCTCCTGTGAGAGGCCTTCAGCAAGCAAGTTGTTGCTTGGTGTCTCTCAGTTTTCCACCTGTGAAATGGGAATAGCACTTCCCCCCTTTCCAGGAGCACCTTGAGGATAAATACTGTAAATTCTGAGCTGGTCATATTATAAGGGTATCTAGATAAACACCATCATTGACCAAGAGAAATTTAACCCAGTGGGAGAAAGGGGTATAGTCATGCTGAACTCAACTTCTTAAAAAAAAATTAAGAGCTTTCCATTGCTGTTTACTGACTTCAGTAAATCAGATTTATTTTTTTTTCTGATGGTTTTCTCTGTGTTTCAACAAGGCTAATATGTCATGACCAATTGTACAAAATACAGCTAAGAAAGAAATACAACATGCTCTCATTTTCAAGTTTTTCTTTTTTCAATATTGAAAAGAGCAACGTTCTGTTTGCATCTCAGTCTGAGAACTAGTTTACTGTTATCCACAGACAAAACCCTGGGAAGCCTTTCTGTATGACCTGGGCAGCTTGGCAGAGGAACGTGAAAGGCATCAGGACATTTGCTCAGAGACTGATTTCACAGTATCTAAACAAAAATGGAACAAACAAGCTATCAGAATTTTAAGCTCTCTTAGCATTAGTTTTTCAAATTCAGATGGAGAAATTATGAAGGTCAACATTTTTTAGTTATAAAGCAAATGCAAAAATACAATGATTAGAGGAAGTGCAATGGGAGTCAGCACTGTGTCACCTTGTTTTGGAAGCAAAAGAGAAAGAAGAGCTGGTTTAATGATTATCCAGTGCTTTTTCTTTAATTTTTATGAAGGGCACAGATTTTTGTGATCACTGGTTCTGTCTCTCTCACCTTTTACAGCTGTGTTTTACAGCTGTATTTTAAGGCAGCATTTTACGTAGCATAACTTTACTCACATCAGGAGTTATAACCAATGTATACAGCACAGAAATCATGAGAATCTGAACAGACTGATCTTCGCAGGTCAATAATCACTGCAGGACTTGTATAATTTTTGATTATTTCCAGACATTCAGCGAGGCAGAAGCAGAGTCTGGACTCCTGTGAAGCACTTGCTGTGCATATTTTCTGACAAAATTCTAATAAAATTTTAGGTTTCTAAAATCTTCACTTTCACTTCTCTTTAGCAAAAAGCAGTAAACTGCTGCTTATCTCTGCACCCTTTGAAGGAAAGTCTCCTTTGAGGCTTCTCCTAATTTACCAGTAGCTACCACACAGCCCTATCCAAAACACCTAGAAATATTTTCTAAGAGTAGGGACCTGCATGGTGTCTTAGACACTGCTGCATTGCGACTTCACATCAAATAGAGATGTTTGATGAAAACACTATTTAGCATCTGTGGTCTTCTTCCTTTCACCTTAAAATTAATTGAGATAATTTATCTCCCTACGTTTCCTCCCACTCTTTGGAAGGTCTAAGCTTGCATTCTTCAACGTCATAGGCTTGGGGGAATTTTTGTACAAGGAAGAGTGAGACTTATTAGAACCAGCTTGCACGTATCCCCTATAATACCTATCATAAGGATTATGCATTATTCCCATATCAGTATCTGCATACAGACAGACAGCAACCACATACCATTTCTGAGTCACACCTATCTTTTTAGCTCCCAGTACAAAGTAATAGCAAATTAACTACTGACTTTTTTCTTTTTTTGAAAGAATGTAGCTGCATGTTCTGGTGTGTCTTTCCTTAGATCTTCTTCAAAGTGCACTAACAGAAAAATTCCATTCTTCCACTCCATTTTGGCTGTTAAAGTCATTCTTCATTACTGTAGTTTTTAACTTTATCTCTTCTCTGTCCTTTGTTTGTCTTTGATACTTAAGAGGGAAAAGTTCAGTCTTTCCTCACTGTGCAAACAGTTTCCATAATACACTAACCACACTCTGCTATCTGGACTTCTACAAGTAGATTGGCAGACTTGAGTAGCACCCATCAATCATGACCTTTACAGCTCAGGTTTGAACTTGTAGGTTAGATATAAACGCTGACGAAACTTGGGAAGCTTTTTAATTGACACCACGTGTGGGATTCCTACTCTGTAGGTTTAAATGGCCAAAACATTAAGATCTGCTCTCCATCACCCCAGCTGGCTGCTAAGACCATAGTTGTGGCATGCAGAGACTGTGGTGAGTAGTGCACAGCCAGGTTGCAGGATACAGGAGAAACCACAACAAAAATCAGCATCCATTTGAAATGTTGTTGTAGCCGACCTTACTATTCTAATATTCATGCAGCGTCACATGGCAAAACAGCTGTGAAACTACATATATATATGAAACCAGCCCCAATGGAATTGTGCCTTCTCAAGAGATCTTAGCCTCAATTTTGTACGTCTAGCGTGAGTCAAAGTTGCAAGGTAGTTTTTTGACTTTCCAAAGACAAAAATATTCACCAGACTACTGCCATAAATATATTAAGGAACTTTAATGCTGCTTAGCATAAGTCTTTGTTATATACTTTCATCCATATACTCCAGTGTAAAGGTATTTTTTACAATATGAAGTATTTTTAAAAGTATATGGCTCTAGATAAAATGTTCACAAAAAGTCTCAATGCAATTAGAGAATTAGGAAAAAAAAATCGGACAAGAGTACAAAATCTTTGGAAGAAAAAAAGATTCAGAAACCAGATAAAGGCAAACATCCCACTTGCAGTAATTCTGGATGACCACGTGGTTCTGTAGTCAGAGGGGCTGCCACTCAGTGCCGTGTCACCCATAAGAACCTGTCCTGGGTCAGCAGGGACTGCAGGGCACTGCTGAGGGTGGCTGCCTCTCACAGATTTTTGTACTTAACAAGTTTGATAAAACAACTTCCACGGCAGATACCGTTGTTGGCTCAAGGAGAATGAGTAGGCCTGGGAGTGAAGGAAATCCTGCCTTCCCTTACCCAAGCACTGCTGGTCTCTGCAGAATATTCAGGTGCACTGGCAGGACATAGTCAACAAGCTGTTTTACGAATGACAGGGAGCTTTTATTCTCCCAGGTTCTATTTGGCACTATTCACAACAGCAAAAATTATTTGCCAGCATTATAAAAAAAAATTTTCACCATCTGCAAAAGGACATGAGTGTCAGGGAGCAGAGCACAACCTTATCATTTAGTTTTGCTAAATCAATTATCTATATATAATATTGCATGTCATTATACAACAGGATATTCAAGAAAGGCTCAATTAAACTTCATTCGTGCGAAAAGCAAACTCCATAGTGGTCGGACTGCTTTGCATTCCACTGCCTTCAGTAAGATGTTGTACAGGCATCTCTCCAAATAAAAACACCTTTACAACACTGCAGGTTTAGAATGCAGCAAATAACACACTGCAAGAATTGAGGTCAGACATTATTCACCATTTGGTAACATTCCATTCAAATGACATTGACTCACATAGCACCTAACAAATACAGCACTTTAAGTTAACAAAAACAAATCTGTACTCTAAGAACTAAAACAGTGCAAATACTCCTGTTAAACAAAAATACACCATGTATATACACACAACACAAATGCACTGTTTTGTTTTGCAGTATAAATAGATCTGATAAATAGTTCCTAAAACTAATGAACTACTGATTGACAGTCCAAAATGGTTTTCATCTAGTATGGAACGTAATAAGCTTCAAGGATCAGATGACCATAGACAGATATGGCAGATACAAAAGAGTATCAAAAGATTTCACTGCATGGTTATTTAAAATATATTCTCTGTACACCAAAGTTAATAATACATATATACTAAGTTGGCATTTCAAAGTCAGGTCTGATCATGTAAAGAGCAGCACACAGAACATCCATGACTCTACAAGAAGCCTCAAGGCTGGACCTGTGTGGAGTGCACCATTACGGCTGCAAGACACTTAAGGCCCAATCTCAGGAATTAATAAGGGGGGAAGCTTTTTAGCTGCCTATGCAGTCAACATCTTGGCTTAGTTTCCACTTTCTTCCTCTACTGATGTAGCACTAGAGTTCTGCTGTCTGGTAATGACATGTCTGTTTATCCCTGAACTCCCTAATACCACACAATTAGTACACTTATAATGCATACACAATAAAAGTAAATATTAGAAAGGGAAGAGATGGAAACTTGTTGAGGAAATCCTAATTAGGGGTTATTTGCATTTAAAACAGATTTTAAGCAGAAAAAAAGTCTTTTTGGAATTAGATTACAGTAAAACAGACAAGTAGCACTTAATTTGATCTGAAGTGGAACACATGGGTGTTAACCTCTCTTCAGCTGTTATTTAGCCTCCATCTCCTTAATGCCAGGGCTGTGCTGAAACCGTAACAAACAGCTGTTGCAAAGGCAAAAATCTAGAGAAGAAGCAGGGGAAAAAAGAAAAAAGGAAAAAGTGAATCACACATTATATTGTTCTACTATTTTTTTCCATTCTAAATGAATATAGGGACACAAATGATTCAAAACTTATCCCCTCCTAACCAAAATGCTTAAAGTAAAGATAGGTTTGGGATCCTCTGAAGTCTCTTCAGGAACTTCTCTGTTATAACCCCATTTTGCTACTACCCCATGCAACTACTTTTCACTTGCTTGCTTCAGAAGACATTTTGAAATAGAATATTAAATAGAATTCCTGCAAAGTTATGGTACAAAGTAAACACGTGTATATACACTGTGTATTTCAGTTTTCTCTTATCTAGACTTATCAAACATTAATCTCATATTTGTTTTCAAATGAATGTCTTTATCAGCAAACATCCAAGAAGACATCCCTCTAAATAGCAGAGCTCTTTTACTTGCAGAAATACAGAAACAACTCCAAGTCTGGCCTCCTTGACCAGATATGCAGCCATTAGAACAATTTCCTGAACAATACCAGGAAGTTGCTCTTGCTCAAGAACTGAACTGGATAGATTTGAAATGAAGGTCATGTCACAATGAAATTGAATATGTAATGACGGGTTATATCTCTTTGAACATACAAATTCAATCATAACAACCTATTCCTTGCTTTCCATACAAGTCTTAATTTGACAGTTAAAGTTTTGAATAGATGCTACACCATAGAAATACCATCTGTAAAAAATGAACATATATATTTTTAATCACAGTATATGAAAGTAATTTTAAAAGACAGAATGTTAGCAACCCTTTACATTTTTTTCTTAGGTAGCTTACAAGACTGTTTCAATGAAGTATTACAAAGGATTACAAACTTTTTTTCTGTATGTTCTGACTTCCTAAATATACACTTCTGCAAAAAAGTAAAAATACATTAAAGACTACAGTTATCTGATTCCCTATTTTCAAGCATCCCTTAATTGAAGATACTGAGGCAAGTTACAGAAGAGTCTCCTCCTCCCCTATCTTGCCAGGGATTTGAGAGGTTTGAAGAACTGAATTCTTCCTTAAAAAAGTAGTACAGAAGGGGGAAATGGTCTCTTGGAGTACCCACCATCCCGCTGTCAGACAAAATGACTTAAGCGACCATAACTTCAGTGGGATCTGAACACACTAAACTAGGATTGGAGGGGTACGCTTAAGGGTAGAATTCAAGATACCTGCTTACTATAAAGATCTCCCTTAGTTCAGGTACAGCTATGAGACACCCCCTCTGTCCTTGTGCCACATGGCCACACCGATCAGATGTACTTGTGTGTTACTGGGAGGTGGGTAATGGTGAGGAACTCCAGACTTGGAGACTGACATGACCACTTCACCTCTTCAAAGTGTCCATCTGTTTTTATCTTAAGATGAACTAAAGGTGTTTACTATGCAAATTTTATGGTGTACTTTTAAGGACAACAGATACCTGCAGAGGGTTTTAGAAGCTTAATAAATACACATTGTTCCCTGAGGTATGCAAGACCCTCTGGACGGAACAAAAAATAAGAGCATTAGTTTCAGTTCTTTAAACTGAGCCTACATGGTATACCTCTACTTGCCTCTGAGGAGTCCAGCCAAGGAGAAACCTAGAGCCTTGTATATTTTCTGATTTGGCTATGCACACTCACATTAGCAGATACAGGGATTCAGTGATGATGCAACCACAGTAGGAAAAATGCATTCCGAACTTAGGCTATCAAGAAAAGCATTCTTGCCGTGAGACAATATGGCCCTGACACGTAACTTTATGTCTGATTTAATAAGTACATATGTGGAGCTTCACAAAGGTCTAGTCCAGTTTTATTTCTCCAAGGTATGTTCAGGACTATCTAAATGATATTAAAAAAAAAGACAACTGGAAATTTGAGCACAGGCATGAAATTCATACCTCATCCTTTGATAAAGCTTCAGTTATTATTTTTTCTTCAAATAATCAACACTGCTTTACAAATTACCATGTCTAAAAATTATACACTGTAGTGATCATCTACATAAAACACTATGGTGAAGAGTAGCAACTCTACACTGCAGTGAAGAGTAGATATCCCATTAGCTTATACCAACAGTTTTTGCATGTTGCTGTTAGACGCTATTTGCTGCTCTCAAAGACAATCCTTTCTCTCACAGCTCCTCTTTCTATTAAAGCTTGCTGTTAAGTTCCCAAGTTGAATGGCTGGCTACAAGGACTTACAACAGATTTCTGTTCCCCTGATACAAATACACAAAAATACATACCGAAGCTGCTATGCTTATGTTATATTCATGACCAGTTAGAATCCTCTCTTGTGTGGTGGAATTGAATTTGCGGGGAAAGTGATGCAGAGATGTAGTTGCCGCTTGGAGTAGAAAAGCTCCAAAATAAAAGACAAAAGTAGCTCCATGGAAAATAAAATCCTAAAAAGCAAATAACAGAATCAGTCTGGGCTGCAATCCATACGTAATTCTTCTCGTCCCAGTACGAATGAAATCTAATACTGAAACTCGAAACAAGCACTGATAACAATAACTTTAGATAAGCTGTGTTAAATCCATGCGAGAGCTTAACCTGAACATGTTTTCACAGCTGCTTGTACTTATAAGCAACTCACTAACATTAGTCGTGATACAGGGCAGCTCTCCCTCTCCCCAAACCTTATATTCTTTCAAATTAAGAGGCACATGCTCATCTTTATGTACACATGCTGACCTCTCAGATCACTTTAAAGCTACTGGAGCTTACAGAAGTCTCCCTTCATACAGCTTAGATAAAAAAGAAGGGACATACAGGCCAACTTTATCACATTTCAAGCAGTAAAATACGACCTTGCAGTCCCCCACATCCCTTCTTAGCTATAACCAGAGCTCAAAAAACGCCCCCTCCATGCCTAAATTTTGCTTCCGTGAAAGCCCAGAAACATCTCAGCCTTGACACAGATGAAATTTACTTCTCAACATCTGAACACAAGAATAGAGGCATTTCCTCAACTGACTCTAACTTGGCTCTACCCAATAGTCAGTAATCTAAAAGTTCTTCCTGACACTGTGGAATAAAATGCCTGAGACTTGAGAGGGCAGGTGTTAGGATTTACTTTAAATATGCTTCTCTCTTAGACCTCTCTAGGCAATTCCCTCCTCTGTGGTGAATGCTAACTGAACATAATGCTTAAACATCTAACTTTCATTTCAGGGTTCTATTACTGACACACATGAAAAAGGTCTGATGCTCAAGTATCTTTGTAGTTCTATTTTAGAGTCCAGTGTTCCAGCAGCAAGATCTAAGACATGTTGCAGTACAGTTTTAAAACATCTAAAATATTCTTCCAACATCTCCTTCTGTTGTTGAGTCTGAAAATTGCACTGACATTTGCACTGCACTCGATTCCTGAGTCCACACAACATGTACTTTGTGCCTATACCTGTGCAGGTCTGCAAAAGCCACACAATTTTTAAAATACACACAAGTATATTTATACTTTTTGATGATATCCACGATATCATCAAAAGTCTATCTCCAGCATAATGAATTCTTTGTGAACTTTAACTTCACTTGAGTGCAATGGACGACCAGCATGCCAAGAGTGAGAACCCAGGGTACACTATGTGTGCCCAGCACAGCAGCAGACAGCATTTATATGCACTAGAAGTTACTGTGTGACATCCTTACCTACTGTCTGCCTGATATCAAAGTGAGAATATGCTGCATTTCCCTGTTTATAAATATGCAGTTTCTTGGCAGATGTGAGATTTTCTTTTTATTGCAAGAATTTTCTTTTCAAACCCATGACTTGTTCCATATTTGATAGCAGCTAAAGCTACTTATCACACCCTCAGCAGTTGTGATAAGTTACAATATAAGCTGCTACTACAGTTCCCCATTCCACTTAGATCAGGACTGACTGCATACAAGAGAGATATTTTCAGAAGACAAACTCTTTAATTTCCGTCATTCTCCTGCCAAACCCTCTAATTTCCTTCTCCTGGAAGCAATTACAGTGAAGCTATGTAGCATCAGTAAGGCTTCACGTTCACATGGTTATGGTTTCTGTGACCAAAAACCCTAAGGTCCTATGAGGGAGAGTTTTTTGGTTTTGAGTAATTGTCGGCATGGTGCTAACTCTCCCTTGCTTCCACACTTGTATAATCATTGGAACCTCATACAAAGTGTTTGTAAAATATTAACAGATCTGCATGATAAGTTAGTTCTCATGTAATTTTGTAAATGAGTATGTTGTGAGTCAGGCTGTAAAGGACAGTATTTGTCATACCATCTGGCTTAATACAGTGATGTACCGAGTGATGTGGTTCCATAAGGTCCATCTTTTCCACTGTGTAGCATCTTATTTCTTAAATATCTTTATTAGCATTAATGGATATATCCTTTACATTACTAAATGCAGAGCTGCATTTATCGTAACAAAAATAGTTCTACTGTTTCCAGTAATTAATTATTTATTTGCAACAGAAGGTAAAAAAAAAAATCTTGTGAAGTGCTGCTAACGAGTTTAGTGCCAACAAGTTACAGAACACCTGGGTACTTGAAAACAGTGGTCAAATGATCTATCTAGTCTTATTTTTATTGAAAGCTGGAAGGGGCTGGGTTTTAGTTACCAAGTTAGAGATAAAATCATTCTTTCTGCATTTATTTAAGATGCTGAGTTACGACAGCTTTTCAGATGAAGCTACAGATACAGCTTTTATACAAGTTTTGTAGCTATTTCCTGACATAGAAAGTTTTCCAGTAACTATATGCAAGAGGACAAAATTAACAGTACAACAAATCATTGCCAGTATCAAGTAGCCAATGTGAAACACACACACAATTGTCATATGATGAAATTTGTATAGCATTTTCAATCTATAGAAGGCTTTATCCTTACCTAGCAACCCTTAAATAGATGCATGATTGTAAACTGGCAAACAGTTTCAATGAAACCCAGGACACTATTAATTTACTTCAGTTATGCACATGCTCAAGGGCTTTGTTGCATCATAATTTGTGAGGATGTTGCAGCATAAATCTCTGTAAAGGTGTCTGTGATTGTAACTCATTATTAGCCTAATTACTGCCTGTATTGTGCTGGAAAGCTGATGCTGTATGTATGTGTACTCACTGTCAAAGTGCTAATGTTTGTTTTTAGTAGAATCCAGTCTGTTATCACTGATAGGCTTTGAAGTTATCTGAGCTCCAAACTCATGACTGCTCTATGATTTGCTTTAAAGACCTTTTGTTTTAAGGGACTGTCCATGAATACCTGAACAGATTCCACAGATGTGGATACTGAAGCACGCAATTCCAGCTATGATCAAGGAAAGTGTCAACAGGAAAACTAAGCCATGTAGGAGGAAGGTTAAGGTGATCAGCAATTACAGACACTTTACACTAAAACATTTTAGTGTTTTAGAAGTTGCAGTCCTTTTAGATTTATTTGAAAATTTCCATTCTGATCAGAGTTCTGCCATCCCACTTTCAGTAATATAAGAGAGTGTGATATCATCTCATACTCAGCTATTTGAGTACTAAAAACTCAAAGTAAAGAACAGTTAATTACAAAAAAGGAGCCCACAAATCAGCAGTCAATAACCTGAGGTATCCATAAGCTCAGCAAAACCAGAGCAAACAACTTCCCTTTTTTAACAGGAACATACAGTCTGTGAGAACTGCTGGCACAAGCCACAACAATCAATTCCAGCAAGAATCAAGTTTTGTCTTCACAATGAGGAAAAGTTGGGCAGAGTATAATTATATCTGTAGTCTCACCAGGCAAACGTTAAGTCTCCTAGTAAGAAGCTTTATCATCCTGCAGGTTATTCTGTCTTTGACCACCTAAGGTCTAACAGTCATTTAGCATTGCTGCCTTAGTTTTAAGGAATCAACCCAAAAGTCACCCATAGACTTTCTTAGGAACTGGAGGGGACCTTCTGGGTGCTAAAGTCCAGTCTGTGGTATCTGTGATGGTATCTGTGATTGGAAAAACAACAGGCCACAGCAGACCTCACTCCCAGACAAGCAAGACTGGCCACAGGGACCTGCTGCCTTCAAGTCCAAGGGAAGAGAATAGGGGAGACTCTCCTCTCCTTCTTATTTATACTCTTGCTTATGTAAAAAAAAGGATGGAATACTGGGAATGGCCACTTCCCTAGTTTCGACCTGGTTACCAAGGAAGGTCTATATCAAACTATCACAGTATCTCAGACAAGCCCATCACACAGAATGTTCACAAATCCATCCCTTCCTTTACAATATTAGCTGTATCTTTCTAAGTCCCATTATTTACAGGGTGTTACTACCACTTCTTTAATAGCCAGAAAGTATTTTCTCATTTCCAGTCCACAATAATTTCTGGCCATTTAAACCAATTTGTTGTCATGTCTTGTTAAACTAGTCCTCTTCCTGCTGCTCATACATTTTATGTGCTTATAGAGGACAAGTATACTCCAAAAAGTTTTGAAAGCTCCTTCAGCATCCATCATAAAACAGGTCCTGTATTTCCTCTGCCACCTTTGTAACCCTATTCTTTTTCCAGTTTTGAATTCCTCCATTTTGAAAAACTTTTCCCTGATACAGAAGTCCAGCCATTAAGACTTCGGATCAGTAGTTCTCATTACATCATTTTCAGTTTCTAAAACAAAGGGAATCCTTAAATAAAGAAAAAAATCTTACCGCCTGGTTCCAGTTGAGAGCAATTCTATTTGCATAGCCGAAGAGGAACACAGAGAGGAACACAATGGACAGGAACCATGCAGTCACTGCTACAAACATGACCCATCCCTGCAGCAGCGGCAGTGGAACTCGGGTAGAAGCGACCAAAATCCAGACTATTGTTCCGAACAGCTGCAAGGGAAGGAATACAGAGAATGAACTGAGTGATAACTTTCATTCAGTCCTTTCTGCCTAAGAACTGATATCACACATTACACATCATCAGATTACTCTTAGGAACCAAGAGGAAACACTTCCAAAGTACTCAGAGAGCCAAGTCCTCTTCTCAGAAATGATAGGCACTAAGTGGTGGTAAGACAAAGCCACTCTGAAATTCTTTAAAGTTCTTAAAATAGTCTTGAAAATGGGATATACGAACCCAGGTGACCTGTGTGCTGCTACTGAAAATTTTACCCTCTCACTTTGAGGAAAATATAAGAAATGTGAAGCAAATCTATCTACATATACTAAAATTGTCACGAGAAGGATGTACTTCAGATTTTGATTCAATCTCATACTATTTAATTTAGTAGTCCTAATCAGATGAGATACAGAAAAGATGAAACTACTTCTCTTTTTCAATGTATTTGTAATAATAAACCGAAAGAGAACACATTAAGCAATAAAGTGAAAGAGAAGACTAGGATATACAATAAGGCATGCTGTAAATTATGTTGTAAAGATTATACAGCTTTCCAGAATCATCATAACTTGAGGAAGAATTCAGCACTGCCAATTTTCATTTCAGCATACTGATCACAGAGAAAGAGTGAGAGGAACACTGTGCTATGATGGACTGATGGAGAATTTATGTACTCTAAGACTTCCTTGGTTTAATCAACTCTTGCTGTAAGGAAGGGTACTATTTCTTCCTGCAAATTCTGCCTCTTAATAAAAAGGGATAAATTGAGTGAATCACAATTGTCATCTGAAGTATGTTCATTTATTACAGAAAGATTTAACTTCATAATCCAACCTGTTAAATAGTGACAACTACAATTAATTTCCAAGCAAGTTACTTCTGTCCTGTTTAAATTCTACAGATTTACAACCAAGAAGTCAGAGGTTACATTTTCAGGTTCAGAGAACTTTCTTTTGTATCAAGGTTGGATGAGAGACACATTTTAAAAAATGCCTCCTATAAAATTAATTGGTTCCTCCCTCAGTTACTTTGCAGCAGCACATATGTAAAGATGCATTGCAAGTCTCAGTTCAAAGCTCCCAAGGGTTTATGTATTAGTATTCAAGTTGTTCTCTAGGGTTCCTTTTTTAGCTGCTGTGAAGAAGCAAACTTTCTCTAGTTTCACAAGACTGCAGGTGCAAGTCTGTTACTCAGTGACCAGATAGTGATGGGCAGTGAGGAAGCAGAAGGGATATCACAAAGTGTCTGTTAAACAAAAAAACAGAGACACGTGAAATGTTTTCAGTATTTTGAATATGCAAACTTGCAGGGTTCTTTAAAAATAAATTTAGAAATGTATTGTAGAGACTGCTAATCTCGGCGCCCACTACTGTGCTATTTCCCTCACACCACACCTGTCCACTTCAGCTCAGCTGTCAGATATACAATAGGTGGGCCAACCTAATTAACCTTTTGTTCCTACTGACTCACGGCCTGATTTAGTGCCTGGACTTGTGTTTTGAAGTCCTTGCTCAGGTAGAGTTTTATAGCTTGCAGGGCGGGACGCAGGGACACAGCTCACCGGCAGGAACCCAGCTCGCAGGCAGGGAACCCAGCTCGCAGGCAGGGGACCCAGCTCGCAGGCAGGGGACCCAGCTCGCAGGCAGGGGACCCAGCTCGCAGGCAGGGGACCCAGCTCGCAGGCAGGGGACCCAGCTCGCAGGCAGGGGACCCAGCTCGCAGGCAGGGGACCCAGCTCGCAGGCAGGGGACCCAGCTCGCAGGCAGGGGACCCAGCTCGCAGGCAGGGGACCCAGCTCGCAGGCAGGGGACCCAGCTCGCAGGCAGGGGACCCAGCTCGCAGGCAGGGGACCCAGCTCGCAGGCAGCATTCTGCTCTGACCCCAAGGAAAAAAAAAAAATCAGTTCTACCGAGGTTTTTTTTTTTCCCCTCTTACTAGTCAATACGAGGGCAATGCAGAGCCTCATGCACGGCCTTAGCTCAAAGGTCTCAGCCCTATGTACACCAGTGAGGACTTACACATACATGACATTGAACACACTTGTAGGAGTCTGCACGGGACCAGCAACACACGCGCGCAGGAAAAACCCGGTGTAACTCTCCATGCTGCGTTTTCGGGTCTGGGTCACGGAGTGGCTTAAAGTCCTCGACAGCTCAAACCACCCCGCGAAAACCACCTCGGCGGGGCTGCGGTGAGCGGACCCGCCGGGGCCGGGTCCCGCTCCCCCGGCCCGGCCCGGCCCCCGCACCTGCCCCGCTCACAAAATGGCAGGTGAGGAGCCGCGGCTCGGCCGCCCCCGGGGAACGCGGGGGCAGCGGGCGCGGAGGGCAGGGAAGAGCGCGGGAAGGCGGTGGCCGCTCCCCCCCTCCCGAACTCCCCCGCGCACTCACGATCTCCAGGAAGATGACGGCTCCCGAGAAGGTGCGCAGGATCTCCAGGCCGGAGGGCAGCGTGACCCGGGCAGGCGGGAAGTAGGGAGCGGGGTTGGGAGGCGGCGGCATGGACGAGGCTGCCCTGGGCAACATGTTGCTGCGGCGGCGGCGGGTGCGGGGCCGAGCGCGGCGAGGCCGGGCGAGCCGCGGCCAGGTGGGCGAGGGGGCGGGGGCAGGTGAGGGCGGGCCGGGCCGCGCCTCCTCCCGCCCCCCGCCCGGCCCGGGCCGGCACCGCCCCGCTTCGCCCGGGGCTGGCAGGGCGGCCCTGCCGAGCCGGGAACCCGACCTGGGGCCGGGCCGGGCCCGCCCGGCGCTTGTCCGGCTTCCCCGGCAGCGCAGCGCTCCGCATTCGCAAATCCTGAATCAGTCCGTGATTTCCTAATGCCAGTTTACAAAAGGTTGTTATTTACCTTCTGGTTACAGATACTTGGGGCTTCGAAATTACGAGGTTGTACTTTTTTTTTTTTTTTTTCTCTTAAAGGAACATTTAAAAAAGGAACCTTGCCCATTCAAAATACTGAAAACATTTCATGTGTATCTTCGTTTCGTTCAATCTGGCTCAACCATGCGCAACTGCTTAAAAGTAATAGAAAATTGTTTGTAAAAGTTTTGGGTAGGTAAGGGTCTAGAAAGGCACATGTTCACCAGACCACTCATAATGCATTTTTTTCTTATGCTTCTTTATATAAACATTTTCCCCAGATGAAGGATGGCACTATGCAGCAGTTTTGTTATTTCTCCCAGACTGGTTTAGGATGAGGTGTCCTGACTATGGGATGACTGAGCACTGTTTCACCCAATTGTTAAACCATGCAGTGTTTCTGGGTGTTTATCCTCAACACATACAGCTTCAGTTTTAAAGATTACATTTTTAGAAGGTTTCATTCAAGTGTAGCAGCTGCTCTGGAAGTTGAACTAGCTCAGATGTTAGGACTATATTCCTTTATGTTTAGATGCATGGTGTTTCTGGGATGTGCCTTTGTTATGGCAAGAAATGCCACAGCCTGATGCCTGTCTTCCCCACCCCAATCCAAGCTCTAGGTGGAGAGCAGTTGGCTCCAGTAAACATACTCATCCATGCTTCCACCATAACTAGTACATAAATAGGTTTGTGATGCTTTTAAAATGCAGTAAAAGCCGCTTGGCTTTGAAATTGTGGCTTCTAAAGGAGGAAGAAGCAACAGTTTGCATTCTTTATTGTACTCTCTTTGTGTCTGTTATAGCTGGATGCCTCTTGCACTCTTAAGTAGGAGATGTGGGATTGAAACCCCATTAGGCTGAGGAAGGCACTGAGCTCAGCCTTCCCTCTGTTCTAAGTGCTTTACCCCATCAGTTACTCAATGAGATAATATTTCTCCTCTAGACCTATTTTAAAAGTGAACCCTGTGTCCCATCCATTTATCTTCAGGAAAGGACTTAGGCTCTGGAGGTGCATGCCTACAGGACCTGATTTGGGTGTGTTTTGGAAAGGAATGGGATTCAGACTGGTGCCTAAGTGATTTGGGTGTAGGTGGTTCATTCCTGGAGTTGCATTATGGAGACCATATGTCCAATTAATTTCACAGTCTGGCCCTAAATCTGTTGAGACTGTCCTGCAGAGGAAGAAATCTGAGTGGGCAGAAAGCTGGGTTGATCAGTTTATGATTCAGAATGAGAACTGTGATTGTCCTTATCTTATACAAAGGAATTACAAATAACACTTGGTCATAAACATCTCCAGTGTTATTATCCAGCTGTACATTTAATCTGTGTGAACTCCAACAGCACTGGATTTTACTAATGATTACATACCACATACATTCACTTTTTTTTTCTTGCTTATAAATACCATTCCTTTTAGTCTGCACGTTCCTTTTAACACTTCTTTTCTAGAATTTTAGTAGGTTTTTACAATAAAGTCTAAATTTCACTGGGAGGTATAGGTATGCTGAGTAGATTTTTGGCAGGGCTTTTTCCTGAACCATAATCATTTAAAAGCCCCTGGTGGTCTAGTGGTAAGGGCGCGGCGCTATCACCGCGGAGACCCGGGTTCGATTCCCGGTCAGGGCCACTCCCGGGCAGATGGAGCTCGTTAGTCTTAAAGGCAACCCACCTACGTCCTGAGGACCTCACTGCCACCGTCCAAGCTCGCTTGGCCCCGGCAGATGAACCTTAGGATTAAAGGGTGGGCTCAGTTCCGCGCACACTGTGTCTCACCTAAAAAATCCAATGCGCAGGCTGGAAGGTGGAAAGACCTTCCCCGGATCTTCGCTCGCAAAGACTGGCCATTGAAATTGAATCATTTAAATGAAACTTTAAACATTTAAAATATTTTTACTGTGTTCAGACAGGATGCACTACAGCACTATACGAGATTGCTTTTATACTGATTCATGACTGTTTGAATCTTTAAAGATCTGGATTCTTTAAGGGATTAGTGTCAGGATTGCATTTTTAAATTTCCATGGCAAAAGCACATGTTTGTGTTGGACTGCTTTTTAATAGCATTTTTATGTAACTAATTGCATCTTGGCATGTTACAAGGTAAACTAATGATGCTGCTTCAAGTCCACTGAGTCAACAAGTAGACGGAAGTATATTGATTCATTGTGCATAGGAAGGTCTGTCTATACAACCACAAGGACTAAAAACTGCTCCTAAATGGCTATAACATAAAGTCCAAACTGTTTCTCCTTCATATTCTTATGCTTATGGCAGCCTAACACAAAGTGGGCATTGTCACAGAACTACAAAACCTGTTGTTATCAATTTTAGATTATGGAAAATAATCGATGATTTAAGTTCCACGTACAGTGATGTAATATGTACATATCTTATATACAGAAATTAAAATATCTGTTTTGGAATACTGTAAGTCTCCTCCCTCAACGATCAACCATTAGAAAAATGCAGTAAGAATATGAAAAGTACTTATACAGCAGTCCTATGCAGCAAAATTCAGGCTACCTTTTGTAATATGTACCATGACACTTATGGAAAAGCTGAATATTAGTAATGATACTACAGTAATAGGTGAAAGTAATGTCAGTGTAAGCGTTCATGGTCCTTGACACCTTATCTGAGTATGTTATCAGAAGCACTTCAGGAAGAGATGTCATCTCACGTCCCATGCTGCAGTGTGCACAAGGGTGGTCTACCAAAATGGCCAAAGGGATGGAAAATAAAAACCAATAAATGACAGTAGCCCTGTTCTCCTGTGGCTATGTTTACACACAAACAGATTTCCCCAAGCTAGAGCAGAACTCAGAAAGTATTAGGATCAGATAGTATTAAGATCTGCTTCTTTATTCCAGAAACTTTTATTTTCTGGAGGAAGTTGCCCCCAAAAGTCATCTGTGTTTCTTTTAGATTTGCAAAGCTGCTCTTTCTTAAGAAAGAACACAGACTCTCTTAATCCCATAATTAGTTACATATCAAAAATAGAAAGCCCGAAGATGATAGTATAAAATGCAGACTGGTTTTTCTTATGGATTAATTAATTTAACATGCTCTGTAAAATTGCATGCAGGATTCTGATCTAATACTGGTACAAACTCTGGAGTCATTCTCCTTTAGCCAGTGAAATTATATAGGCATAAAACTGGTTTGCATAAGATGAGTGATAAGGAAACCCTTTCGTGTCATTTGTCTAGTGTATTTACTCAGTGGTAGCAGAACTTGAGGATAATGGTTGGACCTATGCATGTTATGAATTAGTGTGCAATGCCATTACATCGTTGAGGTCTCCTGGGAGAGAGTGCAACAGTTTTTATTTCTAACAGGCAAGGCTAGGCTTGTGAATGCATGGTGCCCCTTTTTGCATCATTACACTAAGGGAAAAATAGCTATTGAAATCTCTCACTTCATCCAGTTAAACTGAGCTTGGGATGTGTGCTGAAGAGGGGAGGTTAATAAATGTGCCACCTGTTTGGCCCACTAGTCCCAGGGATGGCTGGTTGCCAAACCAGTCCCTAGAGTAGCTTAAAGCAGTCTCAGAGCTGCTCTAAGCAGTAATTTCTGGCTGGCTCATAAGGCTGTGGTAGTACTCTGGATATGGCCTCTTCCCACAGAAGTGTCTTCTGTGCCCACAGCTTTGGGATGAAAGGCGTTGACCTGGCTACTTTGGCTCTCCACAGTCTCAGGATGCCCTTTAAAGCAGGGAATTCTTAGCTGGATGGTTAAGGGTCTTTGAGGGTCCCTTCACACAGTCACCACACAGCTGGGAGTCTGGCATCGAGCCAGGGACCCTCCTGGGTGGAGTAAGCCGGTGTTACTGAGAAGGGACTGAGGTCTCTGACCTGTTCCAATAATGTCGTTTACATGTTCCTAAGATTATCATCACCCAAATTATTTGACTTGGTGGCACTGCTGTTCTCTAGCAGTGTAGTTTAAGGTGCACTCAGAGGGCTGATTCTCCTTTAATTTACTTTGAGGAACTCCTTTTAGATGTGTGAGGGTGCAGCAGAGGTAAAAATACAAAATCTCATCATAGAAGAGAGGAAGATCCTGAATTGGCATGGTGCAGGAGGCGGGGTGTGTAGAGAGGGACATGGCAGAGCAGAGCAAAGTTACCTAATGGGATAATGTCTCAAGAACTCAGTGTGCTGCTCTTGGCATAGGTGACCCATCAGGAAAAACGTTTTGTGTGGATGATCCCCAGAAGGGAATGTAGAAGTCTCAGAGGTACAAACCAGGAGCATAACATTCTTGTAGATGAGAGATGAGTAAATGGCGCTGATTGTTTATGACAGAATTGCCCAGGGAAACCAGCAGACAGATTGCACAGCAGCAATACTTAATGCTTTGTTTTTTTCCCTGTCCCCCTCTGGCGTCATGGTGGAAAAGAGGACCAGTCCAGCCGGTTGCAGAGGAACTCACATTCAGCAGCACAGGCAGGAGGACATGCTAAGTGCTGCCAGTGCAGGATGCAGTACAGCACCATGCCATTGGTACTGCTCGTAGCGTGGGTCTCTTCTCACTCTGTCATCACTCAAGGCTTGATGTACTAATCTTTACTCATAATGTGTTGGGCTCTGATCTTATCTGTCGTTGCTCAGGAGTATGGATCTATTGTTTTGATGAACGAACTATCAGTACTGACGGGAAGTCACCTTTTTCCTCAGTTGCAGTTTGTTTGCCTTTTGGGGACTGTTTGTTTTATTGAGCAAATTCCTGGCTAAAAATCC